TAGAAAATCAATCTCCAAAGTCCATTTTTTATTTTTTATTTTAAAAAAATTATTTCTTAATAAAGACATGACCTCTTTTTTAGAGTGAATTTGAGGTATGAAGTCGTCTATATTAGCGAATATTTTATTCTTTAATATAGAACTTTTCAATATGAATTTAGATTTTTGTATTTCAGTATGAATATTGAACATCACTAAAAAAAAATCAAGATATATTTCTTATTTGTATTTTTTAAAAAAAAAATATTTAAAGACATCTTTGCCCTTTGGAGATATTTAAATTCGAAATATTTCATTTGCCAACATAGTCAAATGAGTCATTGCGATTGCATCACACTAATAATGCCAAATAAATTGCATCCTAAGAGGAAAACATTTAGCTAAAAATTTCAAAAGGTTAGAAATTTTTATTATTTATTTAACAAAGTACAAAGAATTTTCATGTGTAATCCATTCACACTAGAAATTGACATAGTAGTATGCTTCCTTGTCAACTTCATTCAAGCAAACGTAACGAACTGCTTCTCTCTTAATTAAAAATTTTAATTTTAAATTTTATCATCAATTTTAAATATAAATAATATAAATTTAAACTAGTTAAATTTTTATATTCGAAAGAAACTAACTTGTTGACCAGATATATTTTCTTGATATATTTAATTGTGTACAAGTTGACGATGTAATCATAATTTTTTTGTTGGAAGGTTGGTATTAATTAATATGAAATTGTGAGTGGCCATGTTTTTGTACAGCCATGGGACCTTGGACTTAAAGTCACTAATGGAAGACCATCATATCACATGGAAAAAAATAATAATTAAGCAATTCTATTTCATTTTTAGACAATAATTAATATATATATATTTTTATTTTGTCCTTGGTAGAAATGATTTGAAGACTACAAACATCTCAAAAATATAAATATATATTAGTGAAGAGTATTTTAAAACATATATGATAGTTAAAACATAATGAGTTCAAAATTAAAATTTCATAAAATTAAGCTTATAGAATTTAAATCTTAAATTTATTCCTCGTCTAGAAGAGGACTTGGAATTGATCACTTTGTTTCTTAGCTTTGAGTTTCAATCATGATAAAGGAACTTAATAAGAAAGAACGTAATAGAATACTCAATAACTTTATGTAAATAAATTTTTAGGTTTGATGACCTTTTTATGGAACAAGAAAATTCAATTTCGATGTAACAGTTAACACTTTAATTTTTCTAATAGGTTAGCGATCCACATCATACATGGTCTATTGGAAAACAAATGAAGGATAAATAGTGACATTGTTGATGTTGATTCTATATGTAGTGTTACAATATAAGAAATGTGACTTTAAGGGTGTTTAGTCAATATTATAAGTCGACCAAATTGATTTATAAGTATTTTTTAAAATTTATTTATGTTTTAGGGTACCAAATATTATAAAAATATTTATAAGTTAAAGTTAGTTAAAATTCATAAATAACACTTCTTTTATCAAACAAATCAACTTTCTATTAACAGTTTCAACACTTCTATCCACACGTAACAAATTCATTTTTTATTTTTGTAAACAAATTATTTTCAACCTCATAGAAATTTCCATCTAAAAGCTACTTTTTGCTTCCCATTAAAGAAACAAATCAAGTTTATCATATTTTTCCTTGCACACAAAGAAAATTGTTTATTTTTTTCTTCCAAGGATGGGACCTACCTTTTGTTGACCCCTAATTTGCCATTTCAAATTTTACACATGTCAAAATCAATGTTTATAAAGTCCTGTCAACTAAGTTCCTTGACTATGGGGCAACTACACAAGTGATCATGAATCATACTCCATTGATTTCTAGCTTGTATTTTCTTTCTTCTTTTGATTGCACACACAAAAAAGTCATGGAACTTATAATTTAATTGTGGAATAACTATCAAAACTAATTTATGTAATAAAAATATATTAAATTGTTTCACTATATCACCTAATTGAAACAGGATTTGGTATTGGTTGGTTCATTTTGATTTATCGGTCATTACGGTTTATAGAGATAGTTATAGAGTCATTTAAGATATTGACTTTATCGGTTATTGATCATTATCGGTTTAGCCGTTAAGATTTGACAAAAAAAAATGTCATTGAAAATGATTTAGAAACAAGGTGACAAACCAAATGAATCATGCACATAAAAGTTCACGAATTACATCTTGTTCAAAGACAAACACTTTTACACGGTAAAATAACCAAGAGTCTGAGACAACCAGAAATAAAAGTAGAGTCAAGTAGTTCAACTCAAGTTAAAAAATAAAGAAAATGAGTCAAAGTTACAAGTTCTGTTAGGTAACTTACCGAATAGGAAAAGCTCTAAGTTAAAGATTTTATACACAAAATAGTATAAATATAATTATTTAATTTACTATCGGGTTATTGATTGACCCGTTAAGAAAAAACTTCAAATCGTTAAGAATAAAAAACGTGATAATATAAAAAAACAAAGTCGTTATCAAAACCGCTAAACCAATAACTCATTGTATATAAACAAATAACTTTTTTTGGATTTAAATTATCAAAATTTCAATTCGATTTTGAACCACTCTAAATTAAAATGTCCGTTTACTTGAAAAACAAGATAATCTATACAGAAATCTGGTTTAAAATAATTTCTTGCTATTAAATTAATTGTTTTAGGGTATATAATGAAAATATGTAAGTTCAACGATGTTTTATTTTGCAAAAGTTAATTTGATAAATTTTTCTTTGGAAATTAATTATAAGTTGAAATTTTTTTTGTATATATAATTAAACCCATTTTATTTTTTAAAATAAGAAAAATAAAATTAGGAGTATATAATGTTAAAAAAAACAAGGAATATTAGTGGCCCATGCAGGTCTCGAACCTGCGACCTTCGCGTTATTAGCACGACGCTCTAACCAACTGAGCTAATGGGCCTTTGTTTTAACAAATCATTTAAAACAAATATATCATTTATCGGATGCTATTGAACTTCAAGGGTAATAACATGAAGGATAAAATAGAAAATAGTTTCTTGGTTCATTTGTACTTTTCTAGTTTTATATGCCACCTTTCAAGTGATTTTATCTGTCCATATTAGTAATTGCAGTACTGCTCTATAGTTTTTTGCTCTACAAAAATTTTATTACTATTTATTATTTTGTGTAGTTTTATTATAGTATGACTCTTTCCATCATTGTTTGGCTACTATATGTTGTTTTATGCTTTCGTTATGTTATTTTTTTAATAATAATTTTTTTTTGAATCGAAGATCTATCGAAAATAGTATTTTTATATCTAAGTTAACTGTAAGATCTGCATATATTCTATCGTCGATAAACTCCACTTTACACGTAACTATACATGGTATATGTTGTTATTGTTGTTATTTTCCTTTCCTATTTTCTTTTGTTGCATTACCAAATGATTGTCTCTCTTTGGGAGAAAATCATATTTTGTAGCCATCTCCTTTTTTGGTATGTCTCTTTTATACGGTTTGTTATTGTTAATTAACAATAACAAACCTTAGTTGATCAAAAAGTTGCCTCTAGGTGATATATTGGTGATTTATTATTATTATTATTATTATTGTTATTGTTATTATTATGCTTAATTGTTAGTTTACTGTGGTGTTCTATGTAGAAATAGAATTGGCTTGGATAGATATATTTAAGACCAGACAGCTCATGAGGTAATGGTTGCTCGCTCTAAAATAAAACTTAATTCAAATAACATTAACTTAATATTGAACATAGACTAAAATATTATCATTTAAAATTCGGTATAACATATGCAAGAGGTGATTCCATTTTCAAAAAATATTTTTCTTTCTATCGAACGGCGAGCACACCCTAGCTATATCAACAAGCTAAGGCATGCATGCTTAGTCAGAATTATAGTATATACTATGTTTATCAATTATCAGCGTGTTTTACTAGTTTAGTTCCCTAAGGAACTAGGGTTGAGTACTGACCGATTTGGTTTTGAAGTATATCGATTTAGCTATATCAACAAGCTAGGCTTGCATGCTTAGTCAAAATTATAGTTTATATTATGTTTATCACTTATCAACGTGTTTTACTAGTTTAGTTCCCTAAGGCACTAGGATTGCATATTGATCGGTTTGGTTTTGAAGTATATTGATCGGTTTGGTTTTGAAGTATATCGATTTAGCTTATTGGTTGTTGAAATGTAAAGATGTGAAACCGTTAAATAACCATTAAGATATTGACTTATCGATTATTGATCATTATCAGTTCGGTTATTGGTTTAACCGTTAAGATTTGACACAAAAAAAACATTGAGAATCACTTTAAAACAAGGTGACAAACCAAATGAATCATGTACACGAGTTCACCCGTTACATCTTTCTCAAAATTCAATACTTTTACGTTGTATGTTTAATAACCAAGAGTTTGGAACAATCAAAAATAAAAGTAGGAAACCAAACTCTTATTCAAGGACTTTATATTAAAATAGTATAAATATAATTATTAATTTATCATCGGGTTATCAGTTAACCCGTTAAGAAAAAACCTATAACCTTATGAACCGATAATTCGATAATAAAAAAAATCAAAACCGTTATCAAATCGCTAAACCAATATAGTATTACGGATAAATCAATAACTTTTTTTTCAATTCGAACTATATCAATTTTGAACAACTCGCACCCTTTTATTGTATAAGTTTTATTTCAAAAACTTGAAGATTTCATACAAGTTTACAATCAAATTAAATTGTTAGATTCTCGAAATCCAAATTATATCACATGAGTTAAAAGATAGTGGAAGTATTTTTATGTATGTATACATTCTTCATAGAAAAAGAAAAAGATTTCCAAACGCGGTGCTATTCCAATTTTTGGTCGTTAAAGTTAGGTCAAATGTTGCGTCTATTCAGCCAATCAGCGGCAACTCTGAACTCACTTTAACCAATTAAAACTCTCCACGTGTAATCAAAGACGTAGCACACATCCCACGCGCCATATATAAATCTCCACGCAACAACTGAATCGCCGGCAGTAAAAATAAAAAAGAAGAAGAAGAAAACCGCGAAAACATCACCGGCTTCAATTTTTCTCTCTTTCGCCGGCGGCGGCTTTTGATCGTCATAAAGTACCTCTTTGAAGTCCACGTGTCTACCGGGATCTGACTTTTCCAACGACATTTCCACATGGAAGCTCACGGTGCTGGTCTCCGCCGTGTCCTTGTCCTCGCCTTCTGTGTCGCCGGAATCTGGTCCGCTTATATTTATCAAGGCGTTCTACAAGAGACTGTGTATGTCATTTCTTCTCTCCTTCCTCAGTTCTTAATTGTTTTATTTAAAGCTTCGTTTTACTTATATGATTTATGATTTGTTCTGTATTTTTTTTATTGTTAAAAAGAATTGTATGATGCTTTGTGCTAGTTATGTATTTATCCTATGATTAAATTGATGTCTCTAGCAATTGATTGAATTTGTGAAACCTGCCTTTTGCGAAATGTTAGTATCTAGTGGCTGAACCAAAAAATTTACTCAGATTGTTGCAACATTTAGCTAAACAGTGTGATTTTTCGGTGATCTGCTGTTGTTAGTACCATTCGTGAAGTTCGACTTTGAGCTCAAACAATGTTGCTCAATGATTATTGATAACAATTTCTAGAGGTTTTGTTTTCTTTTATACTCTAGAAGGTTCAATTTTTAGTACAATGTGTTTGCATTGTGTGAGTTTGATGCAACTTTTTGATGTTTTCTTGTTAACTTAGCTGTGGAATTCATTTCTATTGATATATTCCTTTATTTATTTGGTTAACTTTAACATGTTTATATATGGGTTTTAGGTCAACAAAACGGTTTGGTCCTAACAATGAGAGGTTTGAACACTTGGCATTCCTAAATCTGGCGCAAAATGTAGTTTGTTTGGTATGGTCATTTATAAGTAAGTATACAGCATGTTCGTCCACTCTCTGTTATAATATGTGCGCGAGTAACAAATTGGTTAAGCATTGAGTGTGGTTTTTGTTGCAGTGATTAAGATTTGGTCTAATGGGAAGAGTGGTGGTGCTCCTTGGTGGAGTTATTGGAGTGCTGGTATAACAAATACTATTGGTCCTGCAATGGGGATTGAAGCACTAAAATACATCAGCTATCCTGCACAGGCATGCCCGATGCTTGATTGTTTCTATATCTGATTTCTGCTCTACTTTTTCCTTGTATGTTCCCATTGAAGGGCTTAATCTTTCTGGATTTGTGGCTTCTTGTGAAAAGTGAACCATAGTACTAGCTAGCATTTAGGATTTCCTGAAGTACCTTTATGAGAGAAATGCATGAGGTTTTATTTATGTTCTAATTCAAGGAGTGGCTGATTAACTGATGTTTATTAGACCTTGATGGTTGTTTCCTTTTCTTTCCTGAATACATAATAACAAGGCTACTAACAACTTGCAGGTCTTGGCAAAATCATCAAAAATGATTCCTGGTATGTCCGCAAGCAAGCTTTTTTACACTTGCATTGATATTCTTTTCTTCGAGTATGCTTTTGTGGATGTTGTTATTACTGAGATTTATGGAAATATAAAAAGGTGGATTGAAGATGTCTTGATATGAATTCTATTTATTGAAAAAGACATGTTCTAGGGTTTCTCGAGTTTCAAAAATAAAAAAACGAAATGTTAATATTATTGAATTTTTGAAGTGTAAGGCCATGACCTTAGAAAAGAGATCCAGTGAACATGGTGCCTTTCAATTGTTTTACGTCTCTGGTATTCAGCTTCTGAGCCCTTATCGTTTTGTACCTGAGCATGTGTTCTGTCTTATACTTAGAGAGGGAACTGACTCTTAACAAGAGGGTAAATGTAAAAAACATGTCAGAATAGAGTATATGTGATTAGTGGGTCAAAGCTGAGACATATAGAATGACGTAATGGAATGCAACAATTTTGAATACTGCAGTTGCTAGAAATGATATTTAGATATTTATCCTCAATTGTGAGGCATATAAAATATAAGGGCAAAGAGAAGAGTGGTATAGTTGTGTCTAGCATATCTATGATGTAGTCGGAACAAATTTTCTGTAAAAAGGGCTTTTACTGAAACAAAGAGGAAAGCACACATGGTAGAATATAAAATGAAACAAAATGTGATGGAAACCATTACTTAAAAGAACCAGCCTTGAATACATTACATGTCCAAAAGAAAGGGATAGAAAAATGAGAAGCATTTCAATCTTTTGGTGGTCTAATAACACATCCTTGAATACATTTCATGAACTTGTATGAGAAGCTATGTGAACTGCACACAAGCTGAAGGCTTAGATCTATCCTAAGTATTACATACTTTGGTAAAAATAAGAACTTGACATGGTCCCAAGCTTTGTCTTAACCATTGCAACAGTCCTTCCAGAAATAGTCAAAACAAAAGAACTTGATCGTTCTTCAACAAAAACTATGCCTCAATATCAAAATCAAAGAATCTGATTGTTCAAGTGTTATAATCTATTGCTATCTAAAAGGTGCAGGACTCCCACTAGGAGCTTGGGAAAATGTGAATAGGTATCCACCACTTTTTTTCACAGCTTGGACCATCTAGGAGCAATTACTGCTTAAGTCATTTGAATCTGTGGCAACTCACTATTATTAGCTCTTCATGATCTACAGACCGCACAAAAGTCTTAACATTGGAAGTTACAGCTTTCCGATTGAAAGAATATAAAGAGGGAAGATGTTGGTATATGAAATGATTTATCTGATTTAACGAAGGATTTAGAAGTAAAAATTGAAAAATGGTTTACAAATATTTCTCTTATAGTTTACATCTGAATTCTTGCATCCAAAAAGGGAGCTCCGTTGAGCTGCAAAAAAAAAAAAACGAAGAAATTATAGCATTCTATAGAGGAACATGAGTTTAACTGGATTAAGATGTTTGCCTGGATGCAGTTTCCAAGGGCTGAGGATTAGGTGGAAAGTGGTATTACTGTGGATCATCGGTAGTATCACTTAGATCTTGTCTGGAGGCTGTGTGATAGGAATAGAATCAGGCTATTACGGTAGGGAAGAAAAAGATGTTTAGGTAGATTCTTTTTGTTCTTTCTTACTGTATTTCTCATCTCCTCTAAAGAACGAAGGTTATCTGCTGTAAGAATGTAAGTCTATCTTTTTGATATTGACATTAAAGTTAATTTCAGTAAAACTTTCTTTCTTATTTTTTGTGGAAAAAAAATTGACCAAAGTTATTTAATTACTTCTTGCAGTAATGTTCATGGGAACGCTAGTTTATGGCATAAGATACACGATTCCAGAATATGTATGCTCTCTACTTGTTGCTGGTGGTGTTTCACTATTTGCACTCTCAAAGGTAACATTTTATTGTAATATCTAAGATACAATGTCTTAACTTTTCTTCTCTTCCCTTTTTTCTCTTACATGCTTGTAATTATTCAAGGAAAAGCCAAGGTCCTTTCTGTGAACTACCCCTAACTTTTTCTCTTGTACTTGACTTGATTTCAGACTAGCTCGAAAACCATTAGTAAATTGGCACATCCAAATGCTCCACTTGGGTATGGGCTGTGCTTCCTGAACCTCACCTTTGATGGTTTCACCAATGCTACTCAGGATTCGATTTCAGCAAGGTAGTTTTCCTGTTAACCTATGATTTTTGTGCGTCATCTCCTGATATTCTTACGAGGAATTCTTTGTTTGTGTTTTATATGCTTTATCTTTTCTTAAAGATGAATAGAGTAGAAGGTTATATGTACAGAAAGTGACCGAGCTGATGATAGAAAAGCCGCTTATCCAAAAACTGCTGTAGAGCTGAGGTTTAGGCTCTTTAAGTTCTCTCACTTTTTTCCACCTGCATATTCTGGAACTTAATTCTACCTTGTGGAACTATTACCAGTGGGAGTAGAAGTGCAAACATAATCGGGTATGAGAAAGGTATGGCAGTATAAGGGAGCACAAAGGCAATAAAGGGTAAGGGTACAGCTTTTAAAGATTTGGGCAGGAGGGATTATCCAAAGATAGGTTATAGATTTTAGCTTTATAAATCCGTTAACAAATATTTCATGAAATCCCACTAGACAAATTCAGGCTAACTACGTGGTTGCATGATCTACTTTTATCAGGTAGTTGAGGATCTCACAGGCCATAATGTTGAATGTGCTGTAGGATATATCAAATGTCATTGTTTAAAATTACTTCTTAAAAAAAATTAATTAAGCATTTCCTCTGACCTTCGGAAATCTTTCTTGTGGATGAAAAATGCAGTTTTTCACTTGTATTCATCTGCATGGGATATTATGTTTGGAATGAATTTATGGGATATTATGTTTGGAATGAAACAACTAAGTACTCCTATTTTTTTGCTCAGGTATCCTAAGACATCTGCATGGGATATTATGTTTGGAATGAATTTATGGGGTACCATTTACAATATGATGTTCATGTTTGGCTGGTCAACTGCCAGCGGCTATGAGGCAGTTCAGTTCTGTAAGCAGCATCCAGAGGCAGCATGGGACATTCTTCTTTACTGTCTGTGCGGCGCTGTGGGACAGAACTTCATTTTCCTAACCATTAGTCGATTTGGTTCTCTGACCAACACAACCATCACTACAACACGCAAGTTTGTGAGCATAGTAGTATCTTCTGTGTTAAGTGGCAATCCACTGTCAGAAAAGCAATGGACAAGCGTCGGCATGGTGTTCTCCGGATTATCTTACCAGATTTACTTGAAGTGGAGGAAGTTGCAGAGAATGACAAAGAAGAGGAAGCCCCTGTAAATGTTATATAAATCTTTTTATCTGAGGATACAGTTCTGTAATATTTAGTCATTTTTTCTCCTGTTGTATTTCCAGCATCCCAGGAGGGACAACACTTCCATTATTGGACAAGATAATCAAAAAGAATTAGCACATTTGTAGAATGTTAGCCCATTTTTGTAGTTGTTTCATATATTAATTAAACAGTGTTTAAGACCATAAACAGCTCAGAAGCTATAGCATTACTGATATTTTATATAACGTATAAGAACTCTCTTTTTTCTATATTTGTTAATCGTTCAGGTACCAATCTGAGTCTTTCGGGAACAACCTCTCTACTTTTATGAGGTAATGGTAAGGTTTGAATACATTCTACTCTCTCTCCAGATCCCACTTGTGGGATTTTACTGCATATGGTGGTGGTGGTGTTCAGGTATTAATCTGTAAGTACAATGTCTGTTCTTTATAATTCTTGGCCATGTCCAAAATGGGACATTGTAGATCCAACTTCACCTTATTTCAGCTCAAAAAGTAAATTCAAAATATTGAAGTTGCTTGCTTTTCTTGGGTCATGGTTGGTGCATCATGACCACATCCTATTACTATTATGTCCCTTAACTGTTAGCACAAAAAGAATTTGATACTGGTTATTGCAAGGTCATTCTAGTCTTTTCGTCACTGCAAGTAGAATTCACACTTTAATTTGTACAGGGTTCCCTCCCCTTTTACACTGCCTTTTTGCTTTAAGTAATGATCACAGTAGCCCACCACTGCTACCAACTGCTGACCAATTTAAATAAGCAACAGATGTCTCAGACCCCTCCTTCCCCACAAGATTCCACCCTCATTTACAAATCTCAGACACAGAGACAGCAGCAGCAGCAGAAGGAATGGAAGAATTCTCTTACTTATAAAGCCAGAGAAAGCAACAGCCTTTATCTTTACGCGTAAGAACTCATACCTCTTCCATTTCTGTGCTTATTACAAGTTTATGTGTAAAGATATAGCTGTTCATTTGCAGTCAGCATTACCTGTAACAGTATCAGACAAGTAGAGCAGAGAAGAGAAATGTACGCACACACGAACCATATAGCATTCTCAAATCAAATAAAGTATGCTTTACATTACATGTAGATCAGGCAAAGAGAAAAGCTCTGAACAGCCTAGAGACTTATTATATAACATCTACACACAAAATATATGAAAAGAAACTTCGATAGGAGGCCAATTCGACTTGTTGATCCTCCTACCTCTCCCTATGATTTCTTTTCTCTCTTTTTTTCTGTCTTGTAAATACTCTATGAACTTTGGCGAGGTGCCAATTTGTAAGTACAATGTTTGTTCTGTACAGCTGGCTAATTAAAAGCCGAAAACTCATGGAACATCAAATACCCCCATTTGAGTTCCACAACAACACACCAAAGAATGAGAAACAATTAAATAACACACTAGATACTGGTGAGTATTAGGTTGGAAACTCCAAAAACGGATGCAGACATCTGTCAGATCTCCAGAGAAAAAGCTAGAATGCCTCCGATGCATTCTAGGGTGCAGACCAGATCTTCCAAGGCCTCTTGAAAAAAACATAGGTCATAGAGACTGCAATCCAAACAAAAAGAACTCCAAAAATTGAGTAAACTACATATAAGAAGAACTGTTGATCAAAGTTATGGTGATACTGCTCCCCGCAGAATCTTTGTAAGGATTGATCAGTAAAGTTGGTTATAGACTGTTGAGGAGGGCTCTTTTGCACGATGGAGGTTGGGAAAGATTTGTGCCTGGATGCATGGATGTGGACTCCACTCCAAGTGTTTTCCATAGGAACTGCCTCTCCTGAAAAAACAGTTGAGAAAAAGTTAATCTCACCCTTGCTTCACACTATACATGAAACCACATTGAAATTATGAATCACAATTTACATGAAATAGACAATCAGTGTAAAAAACATGATCACCAAAACCAAACTTCTAATACAAGCAGAAATTGACATATATCTAAGAGGTTGCCTTCTGGCAAAGATTTGGGAGACCAGTAAATCAGATAATTGCATTATGTTGAAATACCAGTACAACTTCACTATACTCAAAGATTTTGGGGGTTGCCTGTCATATATACATATTAAGTCCTTTTCCTTCTTCCCTTTTAGTACTCAATATATTAGAGTTGACAACAGATGCATAGTTCTTTGCTGACAGCACTAATATTCGATAATATATTTATAAGTTTTTCATTTTTTATAGGGAAAGAAACATGGTAAAAAGCACTTTTAAAAAATTGTGTTAAGGAGACATCAAAGGAAAGAACAAAAACAAAAGAAAACAACACACTTTCTCTTGAGCTTTTTGAACCATCGACTGAGGTAAAACTCTTCTTTCCAGTTGAATTAATTTGTCTATTGTTCACTATGGGAAATACTTGGTAGGATTATATTCACACTTGTACACGTCAAAAGACTAATTATGCTACTTTCTTAGTGCAAAAGGCAGGTAACACAGTTTCAATAAGAAACATCGAAGAACTGATAAAATTTGTAGCAACGTCTGTTGCTGCTCCAATCCCCTGTGAAATCTCTCCTAATATCTCAATTAAGCAACGGTAATAGTTCTTTTGATGGATTTAGCATGCATAAAGGCCAATTCTATCCATTAGTTCAATGCATTTTTAAGTGAAGATGCTTTTGATTAAAAAATTTTTTTACCTAAGTTCAGTTTAATATTTGACAAGAGATAGAATGCTTACACTTTCTGAAAACTTTGGAGTGGGAATTTCTGCAGCTAAAGATCTGAACAGTGGAGTAACTTGAAGAGGAGAACTGAAATCTGTATTCAGAAAGTCACATTCAGCTGTAGCTGGTCCATTATTTGCTTTTTCTTCATCACAAACTGGCAAAGTATCTGAGATAATACAATCACCACGAGTATCAGTCTAAAACAACTCCTATGGATGTAGAGCTAAAAGAAGCATCGTTGAAGTCTTTCCCCCAAATTATGAGTGTACCTCGAGTGGTTGCTATGTGGCAGGAGGTTCCATTTTCTAATTCATGAAGCCCCCCTTGATCACTCATCTGAGAAGTTCGTAATTCAGATTCAATATCCTGATGCTGTGCACACACCTCAGCTTGGCTTTCTTCTGTTTTATCAGCCAGTGCATGGCATAGCAAAGTTGATCCCGTACTATACTCAGAGCTGCCAGCAGAATCTTCAGATAAAGCAGGTTGCCTGCACATCGACATTTTAGACACAGTGGCATGGGATAAGCTGGGAATAGTTAAAAGTGAGCTTGTGTGGTCACTGGTCAATACCTCCAAGATGGTCGACTGCCTTCATTACTGCTTCTTGAATCTGCTATCAGGTTCTTATAATCATCAGGTTCAAAATTCATCTCAGGTAGCTGGAACTTGAGTGTATCACCATCCTTTGTTTGTTGAAGAAAATCTTGGAGTATCTGCACAAAATTCACACTTCTCCATTAGAGTTTCTGCACATTCGGCGCAGACTAGTTTCTTGAACTATGTGAAACAAGAAACGAAGCTGGACATTTGAAGAAACTTAGCATTAGCAGCTCAAGCAGTCTTTATCTTTCTTATGTTGTCAACGAGTTAAAGTTGGATCTTCCATTTTTTTGCCAAAGAAATGAATCGTTAAACAACAGTAGACGGTTCATTAGTTGTCCTGATTGAGTTAATTAGGTCATGTAGAAACAAGGTTCAATTCATGAGAAAGTAGAGATGAACTAAATAGTTATAAAGCGGATTATTCTGAACAGCGTAGACTAGAGTATCGAGAAACACAGTTTTAGACTCACCTTCCAAGCACTTTCAAGGCTTTGATCTGTATTTTCTGTATTAACTTTCATTGCTAGTGAGCTTAGCAGCTCTGCTTGTTGCATCAAAGCCTGTTTCTTTGGATCATCTTGTTTAAGGAATGTTCCTTGAGTTCTGTTGTCACTAGCTGCTTAAAAATCCAAAAATACTGATCAGACACTTCCTCTTACTAGTCAACGATATACTGTTCTTACTTTTCAAGATCATTTACCATTTTCAGTTGTCGTCTGATGAGATACCAAACTTTCCCCAGTGTTATGCAGGTTTTGAGCTAGTACCGCAAATGGATGTCTCAGCAATGGATGTGCAGTAGTTCCACAATCACCATCAGATTTTTCTCTGCTGTTACCAATTTGAAGGACATCTGAAATGTCGCTCCGCCTACATCAAAAGTGTTATACTGGAAACTCCATTTCTTTAAACCATAGTAAAATCTTGCTGTTATTCTTTTTTTTTTTACCTCAGCTTTTTAATAGGACCAGCAGCTTCAGCTATGTTGTCAACATTGATACCATCTGGAAATATAACCCTCTTGTTATTCAGGTTAATGAATGAATTGCTGTTTTCTTTAGCCAAAGCTTCATGCTTTGCTCTCTTTTTGCACAGTGTAGTGAACCGATTCTTCACAGCATTATCCGTCCTGAAGTTTTTCCGAAAAAAAAAATAACATCAGATGACAACTTCAATCTGTCATAACAAAACACAGAAAAGCAACACAAAAAACCTAATTACCTGCCTGATACCACCTTGGCAATTTCAGTCCATCTGTTACCAAAAATCTTTTGAGCCTACAAACATTACACTTTCTCTATCAGATTCCAATCACAACATTATAGCAGCATCAATCTTTACATGTTCGATATCGTCTACTAAAGATCAACCAAACTTGAGCTCAAAATGGTGTCAAAACAAGTGACAGTGATGGGGAGAGATTAAAAAAAAGAAGTAAATCAAAAAAGCATCATTTCACCTCACATAAAAGCATATCTTCTTCAGGTGACCACCCTCCTTTCTTGAAATCAGAGTTCAAATAAGTAAACCATCTGCAGATAACAACCAACCAAAACTATAATCTTTTTTCATAAAAAAATCCAAAAAAAAAAAGTGAGTGTCTTTATCAAGAACTCATTTTTATTAACCTTCTTCTACATTGCCTTGTTGTTTTATCCTTGAACTTCGATGCGATGATCGTCCAACTACAGAAAACAAAATTTTGAATTTCAATTCATATATCATATAATCCATTGATTCTAATCATAACTTCAACAACAAAAAACCATGAAAGAACATTGAAACACAAAACTATACTTGTCTGTTCCATGAATTCGAATTTGCTCTCTTAGTATATCATCCTCCTACAACAAAAACACAGAACAAATCCATTACATCTCATAAATCCAATCAATCCAACAACTCAAAAACATAAAAAAATCATTTCTTGA